AAACACCTAACTCCTTGGCCCTCCTCGCCATTTTCGCCTGCAATGCTTGCCACCGTCTGCGTCGAGCAGATCCCGTCCTACGCGTGCCAACTGGATCATCCTTAGCTTCTGAGAAGAACCCCGAGTCGCCGGAAGTCTCCAAACTTATTTCATGCTTATTGCTCGCTAGATCCTTGGTCATAACTGGTGGGTCTCTGCAGTACTCAGCTTTTTCATGTGGCTTCTCTTCCTCTTTTGATGTTTTCCCTGTTTTCAAGTAGCTGTGAAGCGCTCGCAGAACCTTCTTCTGCGCTTTAGTAAAGCGATAATTCTCCGCGTCGCAACGCAGTGCGTACGTAGGGCAACACGATTTGTGGTTATTCCACTTGCGCGTGAGAACGCCACTTCTAATTATGCATTGTATACGCACAATAACGAGCATACCGACGCCAGCCACAGTCCATCAGCATTTTGTAGTCCTTTGCAGTAATCTCTCCCGTAATGGTATCTGAGAGTAAAGACAAGTGAAGCACTTACACCACGACGAGCCATGTTTGCCGCAATACAGGCAGTACTGATTATCAGCTTCACCCACTAATCGAATGGACGAGAACATCATAGACAAATCCTTGCAGGAAGCGACTACGATTTCGAGTAGTGCGCGTACGCGGCAATTTGCCACCGACCTTGAGACCAAAGTCGATTGCGTGGTTGAAGGAAACAAAAATCTGCATTGTTGCTTTGTGGCAAATCACATGTGGTGTTAGAGGCCAATTGATCTCGTTTTGCTGCAATATATTTGTGTTTACGTGTGCCATATCGACACCAACCATAAACCTCATCAATTGTAACCATGTTTACACTATAAGAAAAGCTAATGAGTATAAACTTAAGCCAGCTAAGTAGTGAAGTTGATTGAAATCACAGCATTAGAGTAATGCCAGATCGTTACCGATGGTGCGGTACACAGGTCTGTGATTCCCGAATGCGTGCAACTCGCCGTGTCGGAATTGGCCCATGGTCGTGTATCGCCGTCTCGGTTATCCACTTCTACACACCTTTCATTCACACTGATCACGCTACCATCAGGACGGCATCATGGTTTGTCCACCACGCCCAATTACCAAAGCTACTTGGCACTGCATTTGTCGATTCTCATGGTTTCTCTCTATATCGAGAGCACTTGCTCTATGGATTTGCGACTTGTGCGTCGATCAGTTGACTCATCTGTTCATAGTGAATGCTGGTGGCTAAGTATTACTACGCTAAAGTGTGTACGGACGTTGTAGCGTCCCAAGACCTCTCCTCAAGTACAAGAAGACAGTAAGTGAAGCTGGGTACATGTATTCCGAAGAAAACAGAGCAACTGGGTCTCAGCATGTCCCGAAGGCCAGCCTACAAGTAAGAGTGCCAGACAAAAACTAAAGTGACCGCCAAAAGTCAGGTAGTCACATAAGCGAGGCATTATAGACTTCACTGCATTGGCAACCGCCGTGATCATCCTATGCTGCTCTACTGGACGCCAACGCAAATCTCACCAAATATTGCTCACCGTTCAGCGTGAATCTTGCTTGACAATGCGCACAAAGGCACCGACACTGAAGCACCTGCAGAGACACAGGCTCGCACTCACGTTCCGGTATCTTCCACTGCAGCTGGAGAGCCGTGGTTCGTTAATTGATTTGGGGTACAGGGATCCGCAAGTGTATTGCACTCCTGTCAGCTTTAACGTGACCTCTGACCCATTCCACGTACATCACCAGACGGTTAAAGTTTATCAAATTGTAATCAAGTACCTCAAAGTAACTTCACACAGTGGATGCACTTGGTGTAGAGCATGGAACCTGAATACCCTCGTTCCAAACGCATACTGCATAGGTTCAACCAACTGGACCTTTAGATGACCCCAGTCCCCGAGTTTGATGCAGAAAGCCACGAATGGATGACAACGCCAATAATCAACAAGTGACGCAGCCTCGTGGTCCACCACTTGACTTCCTTCACCACAGCATTATCTGTCTCGTAATGCTAGTTAATGCGATCAGAACATAAACCAGTCACTGTATCATGACAACTCTGTTTAACAGGAAAAGAACCTCAGCTTCAGTCGCCATATATATGTGTTCGTCCAGTCAACCATGCAGACCCAAGTCTTCGACCAACCCACAGGCCTTTCATTGTGAGGCTGCCACCATCTTCCACACCTCAGCCTCAGAAGGAACCAAAATAATCGCAAACCATGAGGACTTTGCCAACCATAGGTCAAAGCACAGAACGGTGTCGTGCACCAGATGGTGGAGGTGATGAGTTTGGAGTTCCCAAATAGCCTCATCAGCCAACTGCACAGACCATT